CTTTCGAGTAAACAAATGAAAAGTCAACAGAGATGCCACTTTGAAGACTAAGGTGCACCTGATCTGGGTTGTAGTATTTTCAGCCACCTCCCAGGCGTGCAAAATCTAGACAGTGAATAAAGAAGACCAGTGTCTCTGAATTATATTGTTGGTAAAGACTGCTAAATATACCACAGACTGCCAGGAGAATGAACAAATCTCTCTTGGCAGCTTTACAGCCAGAGTGCTCCATAGACGTGAGAATGTTTGAAACTTCATCTCACATACCTTGGCTACGTTATCAGGCGGGGCCAGTTCCTGGCGGACAATGCGCGCTTTGGAACATAACAACAAGTAGGGGGGGGGGGAAACAATTACTGCCTTGAACATTGTGTTTTTATGAGCTATCTATGGAGGATCAAATTGATAACAGTGACTGGAAAGATAAGATGAGACATTTAATGGCCAGTGAGCTTAGGGTAGTCTGGGGTAACACCTTGGAAAAAGAGGATTGCCCAATTTAAAGAATGTGACCAGTGTCACTGAATCACACATTTAGAAATTACTGAATTGGTGCACGCACGTTCAGCTGTGTCTAGGCTCAGTAATAACAACAACAACAAAATAAATTATTATAACCCTCCAGGCCACAGGTCAGTTCTGTTCTATCACATGGGATCACTATGACTCCAAGTCAGTGACATCTAGTGATACCACCATCCACGTCATGTTGTTGTCATTGTTATGTGCCATCAAGTCACTTACGACTCGTAGCAACCCTATGTATTAGTTCTGAGCCCTGTCCCATCCTGAGCCAATCTCATCCCCTCTAACAGACTTAATCTCATTTCTCCAGTCACTGAGTCAATCCATCTCATTGAGGGTCTTCCTCTCTTGTGCCGTCCCTCCACCCTCCCCAAGCATGATGTCCCTCTCTCTACAAGGACTAGGTCGTCCTTGTAACACGCCCAACGTATTTCAAACAGGAAGATAAAATGAGAAATACTTTTCAAGCACTTAGTACAACAATGTCCAAAAAACATTGCAACTCAACCACTGCCTGAAAGTTTATTTTGACTCCCAGTACTCCCCATAGGACAGAAGAGAACTGCTGTAGGATTGTCTGGCTGTAAATCTTTTGAGAAGCAGGCTCCCACATCTCTCTCTCCTGGAGCAGCTGGTGGGTTGGCCTGCCAACATTTGGGTTAACAGCTGAGCAGCGCTTAAATGGCTGTGCCACTTGAACATCTATCCTGAATATAGTGGCAGCGATTAGTAACTGCTGTTAGCAGGCTCTCTCTGGTGGGCATGGATGGAGTCAGAATTGACTCACAGCTGACCCTTCAGTGGCATTTCAGGGGCTGCAAACCACGAGAGAAGAGATTGTCCGTCTGTCTCCAGCGCAGCTGCTGGTAGATTGGAACTGCCTGTCTTTGAGTGGTCAGGGCAACTCTTGACTCATTCACTGTTATATTCTGCTTTTAAGAGCTACTCTTTAAGCACCCATTGGGTGCCAATGTTTTATCTGTATTGACTGGATGTTTCAAGCCTCTGGCTGCCTTGGAGAGAAAGGTTATTTTCAGCATTCTGCTGTTGAAGAACCCGGAGCTCAGGTCAAACAAGGGGCTCTGGGTCATGCAGGCAGGAAGGGGCCCAGGTCTACTCAAATTCTAGTCACGGCACTTCAACGCCGAGTCTCTGCCTCCCACCCGAGTTACAGGATCCAAGTTCTGGGTTCCTGGGGGGTGGGGGTGGGGGTGAGTCTGAGGACAGTGGACTCCCGGGTCTGAGGGAGGAGGATTTGGAGGGGTCAGAACTTTTGGATCCGAGGAAGGAGGAACGGGCCGGGGTGGGGTGTGGGGTGTCAGGACTCCTGGGTCAGAGGGAGGAAGGGTTGGAGTGAGGACAGCTGGGTCTAAGCAAGGAAACTGGACTCCCATTTGAGGGAGGAGGAGCTGGGGGTTAGGAGTCCTGGGTCTAAGGGAGGAGAGATCTGGGGGACAGGACTGCCTGGTCTGATGGAGGACGGCCTGGGGTGGGGGTGGGGGTGGGGTGCCAGAACTCCTGGTCCAAAGGAGGAGGGGCTGAAGATATGGAGGGAGGAGAGATCTGGGGGTCAGGACTCTTGCTTCAGTCTGAGGGAGGAGGGGCTGAGGATCTGGGGGTCCCAACACTCTTGGGCCTTGAGGGAGGAGGGCTTAAGGTGGGGGTGGGGTGTCAGGACTCCTGGGTTCAAGGGAGGAGGGGCTGGGGTAAGGAGAGGGCAGATTCCCACATCTGAGACTGGCAGTGGGAGGCAGCTCAGAATCCTAGGTCCTGGGAGAGAGGCTGGGAGCCCCGCATCTCTGCGCCTGGGAGAAGAGGGGATCCCGGTGGCGGAGGTGGGGGCGCGGTGTACAGGTCATGCCCGCAGATCTGTGGGTGTTCGCTGGGGACGAGCGCCGGGTCTCTGACGCCCTGGTCCCGTGGCCCCGCGATTTCGGCAGGTTCCGAGTTGGGGGGGGTGCAGGGGGAGGAGCCGGGGACCTGCGACAGGGGGAGGGGGAGGAGCCGAGCGGGCACCGCGGCGGGCGCGCGGGGCTGCGGCGGCGGCGGCTCCGGGTGAGTCCGCTCCTCCCCCTCCCCCTGCCACAGCCCCCGCCCCAGTCCCGTCCCGGGGGGCGGCCCCGGCGCGTGGGGGCGCGAGGAGGTGCAGAGGCGCGCAGATCTCGGGCCGAGGAGTGGGAGTGCTGCAGCGCTCGCTGAGCGCCCGGGGGGAGGGGCATGTGGCCCAAGAAGGGGGGGACCCCGAAACACCTGGTGTACTCCACCCCTCCCTCCCTTGCCCACCCATACCCGGGCGTGGGGTTTTTACCCTCTCCATGGCCTTCACGGACTTAGGAATCTGCGGCCTCTCAAGGTCCAGCACAGTGACCCCTTCCCTTGCAGCGCCCTGGGACCCCAGCATCTTAAATCTCCCCCCAAAGGGAAAAAAAAATTGCCATCCTCTCTGCAGCCCGTAGAGGCATGAAGGACTTCAACTCCCAGCAGGCCCTGCTGTGCCGGCTCTATGAAGCTACAGCGGCACCAGCGCGAGGGCTGCTGGGAGTTGTAGTCTCTGAGCTCTCCACGGGAGCTAGGGGCCCGGAGGTGGGAGGGGGGTGGCTGGACACCCCTCATCCTGAGAGGGTAGGACAGTTGGCCCAGGTAGGACAAAGGGGTGAGGCTTGCACTTAGCCCTTTCTCCTGGCCAAGGTCCCCAGATCCGACATCCCCTCTCAGCGCCCAGCGCGTGGGGACGGGTCTTCAGCCCCTTGTCTACCCTGCAACCCCCATGGGCGGCCGCCCGCCGCCTCCTCCTCTACCACCCAGGACCCGGAACGGATAAGCACAGGTGAGTCTGACCATGCCTGCCTTGGAGTCCTGGCCTTCTGCAGCATCCCCTCAAGACACCTGTCCACTCCTGAGCCCTGAGTCTTGAACCCTGTGTCCCCAATTTCCCCTGTAACCTCCAGCTCTACGCCCCTCGTTCCACTTCTCTTCATCCCACCTCCCTGACCCCCTCTCTGATGTGCCCCCCAAGTACCCTTCCTTTCCAGATTCACGTCTGCATGCCCAGCCTCCTCTATCCCTTTGTCCATCTGTGCTCTCTGGATATTATCTATCTACCTCTTATTTCTGCACCCCACTCAGGAGATTCTCCTGTCCACTGTTTCGCTCACAGCCCCATCTCTCTGTCCACGCCCCCCCTCACTGCCCCTCCTGTCCACCCATCCCCTTCACCCCGACTAATGGAACCACCAGCCGGCTCTTGATCACAGTCCATGGTAAGGTTCAGTCCCGGACTTTCCATCTGTCTGTTCATCTGTTCCTCTCTCCTGGGCCCCAGCTCACCCTCCCCAGCATCTCTGTTCCTGTTCCCCCCCTCTCTCCCTCGCTCAGCCTAGTCTCTCTCTCTTTCTATCCAGCATCTCCTTCTAGAACCGAGTAGACATGTCCATCTCTTGTCTGCCCCTTTCTATTCTCCTATCTACTCCATCCAATTTGGCCTCCTTCCTATTCCTCAGATATTCTAAGCCCCTTCTCCCTAAATCCCTGTTCATGCTGTTCCTTTTGCCTAAAATGCTTTTCCCTACCCCACCCCACTGCCCATGGCTGTCTCCATCTCTTCTTCCAAGCTTCCGAAAGCCCTCTCTAACCACTCCCTCCCAGTTCCTTCCTAACCCATCTTCAGGTCTCCCTGATCCCCACCCCTACCCCAGCTCCTTCTTAGCATTGCTTTTAGAAAACTTTTCACTGTTAGAGAGTATTTTGTTTGTATATGTTGGTCTACTGGCTGGTCTGTCACCTCTCATTGAATTATGTGACACCAGAACATCACAGGACATGTGTGGTTCCCAACATGCTGAGTGTGCACCAACCAACCCTGATTCTTCGCATGTAATTCACCCTCATGCTGCTATTTGTTGAATGGACAATGAGTGGCTATTGGGTGCCTGTCCATCCTATATTTGCTCCCCATTTCTGTGCACCCCTAATTTTTGATTTCATGTTTTTTTTTTTTTTTTTATTTTTTTTTGGCCTCCATGTCTGCACATCAATCTCCACCCCTTATTTGAACATCTCAGGCCCTTCCCTCTTGTCCATTTGTTTCTCACCTCAGCCCCCTTGTCCACTCATGTCCACCTCTGCCCCCTATTTATTCACCCTGTTACTACTATCTCCTGTCTCACGTTGTTTCTTATGCCTGAGATGTGCTCCCCCACCTCTCTTCCTCCCACTAATTTCTCTCCTCTTATCTATCTTTTTCCTTGTTCATCCACTCCTCATTTCTGCCCTCCTGTCCTTCTATATTCTGTTTCCTTGCCCCTTCATTCTTATTCTCCACCCCCCTCACCCCCCATCCCTGTGCCTGTCCCTGTCTCCCAACTGTTCCCTCCACGTCTTGTCTCTGCACTCCCACCCAACCCCTCTCCACCATCCCATTCCCCATCGGCACCCTTGTCTGGACCTTCTCAACCACACAGGACTTGGTGGCCATCATGTCCGGGGACTACGAGGATGACCTCTGCCGGCGGGCACTTATCCTAGTCTCAGATCTCTGTGCCCGGATCCGAGATGCCGACACCAATGACAGATGCCAGGAGTTCAATGATCTGAGGATTCGAGGCTATCCCCGCGGCCCAGATGCAGGTCAGCACCCCCAGCTGTCCCAGCCAGCTCCCTCCCTTTCCTGGAGTTTCCAGAATTTTACAGCAGGCTCCCTCAGTGGTTTCCTGTTAGGCCAGTCCCTCCCAGATTTCACCTCCATCTTGCCTGCTGCTGTCTCTTTAAATCTCTGTTCTAAGAAGGCATTCGCGTGGCCCATTGTGACTTGTGGATCATTTTTTTAAAAATAATATTTTATTGTGCTTTTTATGAAAGTTTACACCAGAAACTGGACTCCTATTTGACAACTTAGAAACAAATTGGAGGACTTCAGTGGCTTAGTTTCTAGCAAGTTGTGTTCCTAACCCAAAGGCAGTGTGTCTTTGATGATTCTAATCTGCCATCAGCTCTGAGCGAGAAAGATGCACTATCTCCTGCCGTTGTGGTTTACAGCCTCGGAAACCCAGCGAAGAATCGCTATGAATTAGAGCCAACTCAAAGGCAGCAACTCTGAGGGGGGTTGTGTTAGTTTATAGAAATGGTCCAGTGATATAAGCTAACACATCAGTAATTCTCTCTCACTGCCTTCTGGTTGTCGTGTTTCCAGAGCTCTAGTCTCCCTGCCTCCTTCTCATCTTTGTTTTAGCATCGTTGTTGGTGTTTGAGTCTCCTGTAGATGGTTTTACAGTGGGCCACCATGCTCATGAGTGATACAGGCACATCTTGGAAATTGCAAGTTCTGCTCCAAACTGTCAAAATAAAGCCAATATCACAATAAAGTGAATCACATGACCCCCCTCTTTTATTTTTTTTTTCTTCCCAGGGTATATAAAAGTGATGTAGGTATTCTACTACACTGTATGGAGTGTGCCATGACACCATAGACAAGTTTTAAGTAGTGTGAGAATACAAAAATGTGACACAGAGACATTGCTTTTGGAAAAATGGCACCAAATAGACTTGTTCAACACAAGGCTGCCCCAAACCTTCAGTCCGGAGAGGAGAGGGGAGAAAAAAAAATAGACACATAATAAACCGAGATGTGCCTGTATCCTTTATAGTGTGTGCTGAGTGGTTGTTTCATGGAAAGGTGACTCCAGGGCATAGTTCTGGTTCAAAATTTAAAGAGTATCTCTCTGGTCTCAGTAAGTCCAAGAAGTCTGAACTTTTTTAAAAATGCGAGGCTCTGTTCTGAAATTTTCTCCCATTCTGTCAGGCTGTGTCTGTTATGGCTCTAATTAGAACAGTCAGTGGTGGTAACCGGGCACCATCCAGTTCTTCTGTCCCTGGGGGGAGATGAGGTCCTGGTTCGTGCAAGGCCTCAGCCCTGTGGGCTAGTTGCTTCTGTGAGACTAAGGAGTCTGTTGAGTTTTATCTAATGAATTTTCTTTCCACCTCTCCACCAAACATCCTATCTTTATACATCATGTTGTTGTTGTTGTTGGGTACCATAGAGTCAGAGTCAACGGGTTTTCAGAGGCCGTTAATCGAATGGGAGATTACCCATCCTTCTCCCGAGGAGCAGCTGGTGACCTCGAACCACGTGCCTTCAGGACTGCAGCACGGCTTCTTGTCACTAAGCCACCAGAACTATATAGTGGCTAAAAGCACTGGAGTTGGACTGTCTGGGTTCAAATCTCACCCCTCCACCTGCTTACTACATGTTCTTAAACAAGTAATTATTCTATGCCTCAGTTTTCTCATCTGGAAAATGGGCATACGTAATAAAAATAAGAAAAGTGATCACTTCATAGGGCAGCTGACAAACTCTGACGATCCAACCCATGCTAAGCACTTGGGCAATACCAGACACACAGCAATCATTCCATAAATGCAGAGGTGTATTTATTGAGCACCTATTGTTGTAGGCAGCATTCAGGACAATTTGTATAATTTTTTTTGCATTGTTTGGTCTTTTTATTGTGGTGAAGTTTGCACAACACAACATACTCAGCTCACCAATTTATGATGTACAACTCAGTAGGACTGTTGTGCGGCCATGCTTGTAAGCCTTTTCCAAATAAGGCCATTACTCTTAACATGCTCTTGTGTGTGTGTGTGTGTGTGTCTGTTTACCGTCAAATCAGATCTGACTGGTACAGGAGGAGATTGCCCCTCCTTTTCCAGCAAAGCATCTGGTGGATTCGAACCGCATACCTATGGGATTGCAGTGCAGCTTCCCGCCACTAGGCCACCAGAGCTCCCCTACTAACATGCTCTTAATGCCCTTGACCATTCAAATCTACCAGCACCTCTGAGGCAGAAAGATGGACAGTCTCCTTCCTGCAGTTTATAGCTTCCAAAATCTAATGGATGGTCAGCTATGAGCCAGATCCGTCTCCAAGGCCATTTGTGGGTTTGTGTTTTTGGTTTATTCCTCAATGTCCTCTAGCAGGAAATAACTTTGCATGTTTCGTTGACCATGCACAGAAACCCTTTGAGGTACATATAATTCCCACTTACAGCACAGAAACTGAGGCTCAGAAAGAGGGAGTGAAACAGGAAACACAAGGAGGGACTAGGTTGAGTGAACACAGATGGTGGGTGGAAAACAAGTTTGCTCTGTACACTTTCACTCAAATAACAACAATACAAGTTAGAAAAGAAAGTATCAAGTAAAGAAGTTATTTACTAATACGTGAGCTCTGGTGGCCTAGTGACAGGAAGGTGCACTGCAATCCCAGAGGTACACGGTTCGAATCCACCAGATGCTCTGCTGAAGAAGGAGGGACAATCTCCTCCTGTACCAGTCAGATATGATTTGATGGTATATACACAAAAATAATAAAAAAAATTTAAAAAGAAGTTATTTACTAAGAGGAAAATATCTCTCAAACCAACTTTTAATGATGCAAACAATTCAAAGCTCATTGCCATCAAGTGAGGCTGACTCACAGCTGACCCTCCAGCGAACTGACCAAAGCACTAGATCGCACAAGAAATTGCCCATCTTTCTCTCAGAAGCTGCTAGTGGATTCGAACTTTCAAAGGGGAGTCACCTTTGAGTTAGCAAAGCAACTCCTTATGAACTAGGCCATCAGAGCTCCTGTTAGTAACTAAAAAAAACCCCAACCCAAACCCCTCCATCTCATTGCCACTGAATCTGAACCCTCCCATAGCTGATCTTCTGTGGGTTTTCAGGAGCTGAAAAATAAGCCAGAGGAGATTGCTCATCTTTCCCCCATGGAGTAGCTGGTGGATTCGAACCTTGTGCAGTTGGGTTGGCAGTGCTACTCCTTACCCACTAGGCCACCAGGGCTCCTGTTGTTGTTATGTGCAGTCAAGTCATTTGCGATTCATAGCGACCCTATGAACAACAGCTCTAAAACCTGTTCTATCCTGTGCCAACTTTATTGTCTCCTCTTTATGCCAGTCACTGAATCAGTCCATCTCATTGAGGGTCTTCCTCTCCTGCACTGTCCCGCCACCCTCCCAAGCATGACGTCCCTCTCCAAGGACTGGTACCGCCTTGCAACATGTCCAAAGTATGTCAGATGAAGCCTCAGAATCCTTGCCTCCAAGGAGCAGTCTGGTCTCACCCTCTCTAGTGTAAATCTGTTTGTTTTCCTAGCAGTTCATGGTACACTCAATATTCTTCTCCAGCACCACAGCTCAAAGGCATCAATTCTCCTTCTATCCTCCGTAGTCATTTTCCAGTTTTCTGACACAGAGCAAGTAATCAGAATGTGTAAATAAGTCTTTTACTTCCTTGAGATATTGTCATCCGGCAGGAACTTCTCTACAATCCCCCAAACACCCCTTTCTGTAAATGATTAGGGATCAACAGGTGTTTTGTTGGATTGAAATGGAAAACAAGAAAAGTGAAATGACTTGTCCAAGGTCATGGTGTTGGGAAGCGACTGGGTCAGGAGGACCAGAAAATCTTCCCGGCCCTTTGTCCAGATGAGGAACACTTCACTCTAGGAAGCTTGTGCTGGGAGATGTTGGCCCAGTCACACTGTGTGCCAGGACCAGGCTCAGGTTGTTACCTGTGGGGTTCCCAGGGGTGACAGTGCCACCTTGTAGACATTGCCTTGCTTTCTCTGTCTACAGTCAAGCAGTCAGATCAGAGAGTGGCCTTCAGGTGTTTTCAGCACACAGCACACAGTAGAGAGCAGAGGCAGTAAATCACATGGGAGGAGAATGTCCGTCAGAGTCAATGGTACATAACAACAGCAAACCTACAGACT